GCCGGGTCGGCTGGGGGGGGGGCGCACTAGCTGCGGGCCCTCCCGCCCAGCAGACCAGGCTTTTCTTGCCGACGCCTGGGGTAGAGCAGCTGGGGGGCTGCCGGGTTGGTCCCACAGCGCCGAGGTGCGGCGCTACGGGACCAACCCAGCAGCACCCCAGCTGCTCTGCCCCAGGCGTCCCCAAGTCAGCCGCTGCTGAAACTGACCAGCGGCTGATTACAGGAAACCTGAGGTAGATTGTTGATGTCAATCTTGGGATGTAAAGCATCAGAGGGGTAGCCGTGTTAGTCTGAATCTGCAAAAGCAGCGAGGAGTCCTGTGGCACCTTATAGACTAACCGGAGTGTTGGAGCAGAAGCTTTCGTGGGCAAAAGTGGGTTGAAGTGGGTCTTTGCCCACGAAAGCTTATGCTCCAACACTTCAGTTAGTCTAAGGTGCCACAGGACTCCTCGTTATTTGATCTTGGGTCCGTGGCGCTTTTGAAAGTCAGCTCCATCCTTAGGTTCCTGACAGCGGACTCTTTTTAGGAAGCCGTGGTTGAAAATCTTGGCCTGTTTTCCTCCTGTGTCTGTTCCACCAGTGCATGAGAGGAGAAATCAGCCTGTCTTAGGGTTTGAACAGTTGTTTGTAAACTGGAGAGAGAGAGAACTGACTCTTCGTTCCTCCTAGTGTGCAAGACCATGGAGGTGAAGCCAGGAGACAACCCATTCCTTTGCCTGGACCTCACCTATATCAGTTTGCTTCTGCAAGAACTGGGCTTCCCCAAAAGTCAGGTGTTCCAGGTACCACTTGTCAGCACAGCGTTGCGATATTGCTCGTGGTGTGCGCCCGTGACGGTGGTTTCACTCCTCTCCTCTTTTCTTTCCAGCTTGCCCGAAAAATTGACAATGTCGAAACAAGCTGGGCTTTGGGAGCCACCTTCCACTACCTTGATACCCTTCACAGGCTGCAATACTGAGGGGCCAGGGCCTAAACCCCCCCAAAGGGTTTTGATTGCGTCATTTGATGGGTACCCAGCCTGAGGTGGCTGCAGGCAACTGATTTTGCTCACTCTTTCTAATAATCAGACCCTGGTGAAGGTGATCGTCAGTTGGGCACCCAAGCTGTGAAAGCGTGGAGCAGGCAGCTGAGAACAATCACTTGATCTTGCAGTGTCGCTGGAACTAGATCATCTTGGGGAGCGCTTGGGGATTTGTGAAGGGGCTTTGTTCTCAAAGCAGCACCCGGCTCTGAGAGAGAGTGGACCTTTGTGGAACACGCCGGCGTCATTCTTGCCTGTAATCTGCTGAGGTCAGCGTTAGAAATGGCCATTCTAGATGCTCCTCTCCCTCTGAGGTTCCGATTTACAACGTATTTCTTTGCTAACGGTCTGGGGAACTGTTCACTGTCGAACTCTGGCAGTCAATGCATGTAGCCGGGGCACTGCTGGTGGGCACTGCAGCTGGCTTTGGAGCACAGGCTGGGAGGGAAGCGTTTGGCTCCCCCTTCCAGCACAGCTCCGGTGTATTGCGGAGGTGAAGGGCACATTCAAGGATCTGAGCCACAGAGCATTGCAATCTTCATTGGCCCTTAAAGGCCGAGGTACTTTGGGCACTTGCTGCGGGTGGGGTGGAGGGCTCCATTTCGGTCCTTTAGGGGAGTCCCTGGCAGCGTGACTTCATTGGGTCCGTAGGGAGACAGGGACAGGGCTCCTGTAGGGCAGGCAGTCTCTGCTGCTTTCCTGAGATCTGCCAGGCTCGGGAGCCAAATCCAAGTGGAAGAATTTGAGGCCACGCTGCCAGAACCATCCATGTTTCCCTCTCCCTCTGGTTCGCTCCTGCGGGATTTCCTGGGCAGCTGGAATTCATCCCCCTGACAGGAAGTAGTAATTAGTACAACGGGCAGTCCCTAGAATGGTGTGTGCAAAGGGGATCAGCTCGTGTATTTTAATTTGATCATCTTCAGGGGTGGTGGGAAGAATCTGTCCCGTGGCTTTGTGGGAGGCGTTCCTGCCACATCCACATGCACTTAAGATTTGATGGTGCTCAGATTGGGGAAGTTCTTTAAGTAACATAACTTCACAAGAAGAAGTCCTGAGCCTGGAATATCTGGGGGATTCACAGGCTCGGAGCGGCTTTTACAAAGCAGGTTTGGAACCTAAAGTGAATGTCACTATTAACCAGCGCTTGGTGCGCCTCTGCCTTCCTTTGATAACGACTCCCTTGTCGCTGCACTGGGCACAGATTGCAGAAGACTGAGCTGGCAGGAGTCAGAGTAGAGGTGCTTGGTACATTGAATACAACACCCCTACCAGTGTGCTGTGGACGGGGTGAACACTGTTCCTAACCACAGTGTGGAAGTTACTCAAAAGTAGTGAATTGTATCTTTTTAAGCACTAGCTCTTCTGCCCTTTCCTAATAAGGGCCTTATCCAAAGCCCCATAAAGTCACTAGAAGTCTGTGCGAGGACTTTGGAGTAGGCCCTACATGAATATAGGTCAGGGTTCTCTCATGCCTGAGAAGCACAAGCTTGGTGTAAAAGATGCACGTGGAAACCAAGCAGGTGATTCCAAAGTGTGGCTCTGATGGTCATTGAGTTTTCTCTGCCAGTAGCGTGTGCGTGAATGTCTGATCAGTACTTGAAAACGAGTTTATCAACACTGAAATGTTAATTACAAGTGAGGATGTTTCGTCTCTGGATTAATGCGTGGTGCTGCGGAGCGTTTGCCTCTCTAGGGCAAGTCACTGCACTGAGAGTCGCTTACCTTTACTAAGTGCTAATGGGAAACCACTGCATCCCGGCGTGCTGCAAGAGAAGAGTCTGAACTGCTGACTGCAAACCGAACCTGGGATAAAAACTGCTCTGGAGGTGTCAGAGGCACCAAATCCCTTTGCTTTGACCAGGAGCGTAAGGAGAAGACCAATGGGCTTAACTTAAGAAGGGTTGGGCTTGGTTTCCTTGCCATAAGGCAGCTACTGACTGTCAGTTGCCCTGTGGTTACTGTGTCCTCACTGGTCTTTCTCTGAAGCAGCTGATGGTGGATGCTGGCATAGCGGACACTGAACTAGATAGACCGGGTCTGGCCCAGCCTAGCAATTCTTGTCTCTCGAATATATCGGGACTGGTAGCAGGGTCTTAGGAAGGTTGCCTGATACGTTCGATTGAAGACCCAGCTAATGACTTTGCCAAACATGAACTGCTTGGGCTAAACTGAGAATAAGGCTGGAGAAATGTTTTGTGACTTTAAAAAGAGAAAAGGGCATTGTTTAAAAAGTGGAAGTCAAATCCTAGTGAGGAAAATAGAAAGGAGCATAAACTTTGTCAAATGAAGTGTAAAAATATAATAAGAAAAGCCAAAAAGTAGTATGAAGAGCAGCCAGCCAAAAACTCAGATAGTAATAGCAAAATGTTTAAGTACATCGGAAGCAGGAAGCCGGCTAGACGACAAGTGGGGCCCTTGGACGATCGAGATGCTAAAGGAGCATTCAGATATGATAAAGTCATTGCAGAGAAGCTAAATGATTCTTTGCTTCAGTCTTCCTGGCTGAGGATATTGGGGAGATTCCCAAACCTGAGCCATTCCTTTTAGGTGACAGACCTGAGGAATTGTCCCGGAGTGAGGTGTCATTAGAGGAGGTTTTGGAACAAAGTGATAAACTTAACAAGTCACCCTGGACCAGAGGGCATTCACCCAAGAGTTCTGAAAGAACTCATGGTAAATTGCAGAACTATTAACTGTGGTTGTAACCTAGTCTTTAAATCAGCTTCTATACCTAATGATTGGAAGTTAGCTAACGTGACACCGATATTTTAAAAGGGCTCTAGAGGTGTTCCTGCCAATTACAGACCAGTAAATCTAACATCAGTACCGGGCAAATTAGTTGAAACTATAGTAAAGAATAAAATTGTCAGACAAATAGATGAACATAATTTGTTGAGGAAAAGTCAACATGGCTTCTGTAAAGGGAAAGCCTGCCTTACTAATCTGCTAGAGTTCTTTGAGGAGGTTAACAAATATGTGGACAAGGGGGATCCAGTAGATCTAGTATACTTAGATTTCCGGAACACCTTTGACAAAGTCCCTCACCAAAGGTCCTTAAGTAAAGTAAATTGTCATGGGATAAGAGGGAAGGTCCTCCCATGGATTGATAACTGGTTAAAAGACAGGAAACAAAGGGTAGGAATAAATGGTCAGTTTTCAGAATGGAGAGAGGTAACTAGTGGGGTCCCCATATTGGGACTAATCCTATTCAACTTATTTATGAATGATCTCAAGAAAGAGGTAAACAATGAGGTGGCAAAATTTGAAGATGATACCAAACTGCTCAAGATAGTTAAGACCAAAACAGACTGTGAAGAGCTTCAAAAGGATCTCACCAAACTAAGTGATTGGGCAACAAAATGGCAAATGAAATTTAATGTTGAGAAATGTAAATTAATGCTCATTGGAAAACATAATCCCAACTATACATACAATATGATGGGGACTAATTTAGCTACAACTACTCGAGAGATCTTGGAGTCATTGAGGAGAGTTCTCTGAAAATATCTACTTAATATGCAGCGGCTATCAAAAAAGCAAACAATGTTAGGAATCATTAACAAAGGGATAGAGAATAAGACAGAGAATATCTTATTGCCTCTGTATAAAACCATGTTACACCCACATCTTGAATACTGCGGACAGATGTGGTCGCCTCATCTCAAAAAATATATTTTGGTATTGGAATGGTTCAGAAAAGGGCAACAAAAATGATTTGGGGTTTGGAACAGGTCCCATCTGGAGAGAGATTTGAAGGACTTGGAGTTTTCATCTTAGAAAAGAGGAGACTAAGGGGGATATGACAGAGGTCTATAAAATCATGACTGGTGTGGAAAAAGTGAATAAGGAAAAGTTATTATTTCCATAACATGAGAACTATGGGTCATCAAACGAAATTAATAGGCAGCTGGTTTAAAACAAACCAAAGGAAGTTTTTCTTCACGCAGCGCACAGTCAACCTGTGGAACTCCTCGCCAGAGGATGGTGTGAAGACCAGGACTTTAACAGGGTTTAAGAAAGAACTAGATAATTCATGGAGGTTAGGTCCATCAATGGCTATTAGCCAGGATACATAGGAATCATGTCCCTGGCCTCTGTCAGAGGCTAGGAATGGGTGACAAGAGAGGGATTGCTTGAAGATTCCCTGTTCTGTTCGCTCCGTGTGGGCCATCTAGCACTGGCCACTGTGGACCGACAGGACACAGGGGTAGATGGGCCTTTGGTCTGACTCAGTCTGGCCGCTTTTTACCTGCGGAGTGGGGGGGGCGTCAAATTGCGGAGACAGTGGCCCCGTGGCCTAGCCCGTCCCCTCACCAGAGCAGGGCTGGTCTGTAGGGGCAGCTAAAGCGTTGTCCAAGGCTGCTTGAAAGGCGGCAAGTCGAGGGGCCGGCCCAGCTCCATCGCGCCAGGCTGCCTGCGGAGGGGCCCAGGCCAGCCCGTCGTCTCCTTCGAAGAGCCTGGGATGTCCCTGTGGGGGAGACCCTGCTTGCTTGGCTCCTGTGGGGGCTAGGAAGCGGCGGGCGAATGCGTCTGGGCAATGAACTCGGGATTATTTTTTCTAATGGGCATTAATTTACATTTCTCATTGAATTTCATTTGCCATTTTGTTGGCCAGTCCCTGAGTTTGGTGAGCTCCTTTTGCAGCTCTTCACACTCCACTTTGCCCTGAATCGCCTTGAGCTACTTAGAGCAGCCTCGCCGTGGAACCCCCGTTCCAGCTGCTGGGGTGATGGGAGCGGCTGTGGGGCCGGGGACAGTTCCGGCTGAGGGCGGCAGAGAGATTTCAGTGGAGCTGGAAGTGGAGCCTGGGGCATCTGAGGGGACGGTTTTATCCAATGCAGCTGGAACGGCCCTGTCAGAGCCTCCCCTTGTGCCCGTGCATTTGCGCTTCAAAGATTTCTATGAGCTGGAGCCGGAGAAGTTCCAGAACAAGATGAATGGCATCACGCTGAGGCGCTGGCTGCTGCTGTGCAACCCAGGACTCTCCGGGGTCATTGCTGAGGTGAGCCGCTCGCGGCGCAAGGCGACAGACCCTGGGTTGGTCACACAATAGTCACAAGGGAAGAGTAAACAAAGGGGCCCAGATCTTCAGCAGGCACCAGCCCGTGTTCCCCCTGGCAGGTCTGGAGGGGCAGCCGTCCCCCTTCCTGAGCACCCGAATACACACACACATGCAATGGCGGCTGAAATGACCATGGAACTGCTGACCTCTGGCTCCATCTTCCCATGGGCTGAGGATGGATTGTGGGAACAGCATTATCTCCCTATGATTGAGTCTGTCTTAAATGGGGCAGGCACTGAAGAAAATATCTACAGCCACGCATACAGGCCAGCTCCCACACAACTTGAGTTCCCACTTTGTCTCCTTTGTTTACGGAGACCATACCTTGGCAGGAACGCTATACAGCACACTGAGACATCTAGTGGCTGATAATATATCATCATTGTACAATGGCCATCAGGTATTCCAGCTGGCGGCACATGCAGTCTTTCTTTGTTTAGCTGTATGGGAGTGCTGTGGAATTATGAGAGAGACTAAAACATTTTTGTACCCATCGTTTATTCCTTGAACACTAAAGCAGTGCGCAGTAGTAAGCAGCCACGAGAATGGGTGCCATGGTTTTGCCAAGACTGGTTCTCCTTTCTTTCCCGGTCAGGGCTGAGGCAGTTATAGCTGGGAAGTGCAGTGAGGCAGCCAGTGAGCGATCCAGCACAGAGACGGACGTGCAGCTCCTCTTTGATTTCCCTAGAAACTCGGAGACGGTTTTGTCATGGAGCTGAGCCAGCTGAAGACGTTGCTGGAGTTGTCGATGACGAGCTGTTTATCAGTGATGTGGCCAAAGTCAAACAGGTAACGGGCTGCAGGGACTCAGTCGCAGCCCTGGCGGGTGCAAGGGGCTGGAGTAGCGTTTACCCTGCAGAGCCGGCCCCTCGACGCCTGAGCTGCCAGAGGCCCATGGGCCAGCCCCGCCTGCTCTCGGGGCAGCG